GTCGCAGACGGTTCCCGATGAGGACGATATGATCGCCATTCCGTTCACGTCCGGGACGACATCCAAGCCGAAAGGTGTGGTGTATACGCATCGAGGTGCCTACCTCGCTTCGCTGGCAAATATCGTCGAGTCTGGGCTTAACGTCCCGGATGGGAGGTGTAAATACCTCTGGACCCTGCCGATGTAAGCCCAAGCCAAATCATGATGCAGAAACGCGATACGCTGACCGACAACAGGTTCCACGCCGTCGGGTGGACATTTCCCTGGTCTGTCTGCGCCGTCCGCGGCACACACTTCTGCCTACGCAAGATTGACTATCCCCTGATCTGGAAACTCCTCAAAGAAGAAGGCATCACGCACTTCAATGCCGCACCCACCGTCAACACCTTGCTCTGCGCCCACGCCGACGCCGAGGTCCTCCCCCGCCCGGTCCGGGTGACCGTAGCCGCCAGCCCACCGACCGCGCACCTCTTCGAGCAAATGACGAACCTCAACCTGCTCCCGGTCCACGTCTACGGCCTGACGGAAACCTACGGCCCCATCACGCGGGGGTACATGCTGCCGGAATGGGACCAGCTCCCCAAGCACGAGAAATACGCCAGCATGGCGCGTCAGGGGCATGGCTTCTTAACCGCCCTCCCGGCGCGCGTCATTAAGGCCGACCAACCAGAGGGCGTGCTCATCGACGTGGCCAAGGACGGAAAGGAAATCGGCGAGATCGTGTTCTCGGGGAACATCTGCTGCAAGGGCTACTACAAGGACGCCGAGGCGACGCGCAAGCTGTTCGCGGGCGGCGTGCTGCACTCGGGCGACCTGGCGGTTCTGCACCCCGACGGGAGCATCCAGATACAGGACCGCGCGAAGGACATCATCATCTCAGGTGAGCCCCCAAACCCAAACCCACGACACAACTATAAACCCCTACTAACCAACCACCCCCACCCCCCAACAGGCGGCGAAAACATCTCCTCGGTCGCGCTCGAATCCATGCTCGTCGAGCACCCAGCCATCCTGGAAGCCGGCGTGGTGGCGGTGCCAGACTCGCACTGGGGCGAGCGGCCCAAGGCCTATGTCACGGTGAAGGGGGCCGCGCAGACGGAGCTGCGCGGCAGCGAGGTGATTGAGTGGGCGCGCACGCACAGCGCCATCAGCAAGTTCATGGTGCCGCGCGAGGTCGAGATCGTGCGCGAGCTGCCCAAGACCAGCACGGGCAAGATCAAGAAGAATGAGTTGAGGGAGTGGGCGAAGAAGGGCACGCCGAGGGAGGTGTTGGTGGGGTGATTGTGGGATTTGGGGGGTTGTGGGTGGTGGGTGGCTGTAGATTTTGGATGGACCTACTGTGTAGGTATATTGATATCCATAGATGGTTATTTCGGCACTGTCCGCATCACGCAGTTGGGGTATTCATGCCGTATAATGCGTGATCCCCCTTAAATGAAAGCGTATGTTTCCACGTTTCTGAGGAGTGATGAGCGATGAGATGGTAGACATAGGCTGGGATATGTTGTTGCAAGTGTTGATCTGAAACACCACGAATACACTCTCTATTGAGCGACTTTGAGATCATGAAAATAGTAAAAATGAAAAAAAATTCATTATCAAGTTGATAAAAAGTGTTGAAGATGGCTCTGCCTCTGCTGGCTCACGGCCCTAACCCTGACTAGTGGTGGGGTTGCGAGCAAACTTCAAAAAAAGATGTGTATGCTGACTTTGAACACCACAACCAAACTCAGAAAAGTGAAGCTACCTAGGGATTACTCATTGCAATCGGTAGGAAACGGAAAAAATTAAACAATTTTGAAAAAGCATTGAAGATCTCTGCTGATTCACGGCCCTAACCCTGAATAGTTGTGGGGATGGGGTCTGGGAGCAAAACTTCAAGATGCGAATACCGACTCTTGAACACCAGAGAAAACCAACCCAAAAAATTGAAGCTAGCGATTACTCGTTTCGATCGAGTGACCTCCGGGTTATGAGCCCGGCGCGCTTCCGCTGCGCCAAATCGCTTTCTTTGCTTCCTGCTTGTTGCTTGCTTTTGTGTTTCAGGGGTGTGCCTGATAAAGAGAAGGGGGAACAAGCGAATGGGCTGTGTGTGTGGCAATGTTGTGTCTGCTTTCATCTCTTTTTCGTCTGTTGTGACTCATTCGCGCCCCGCCGTCGCAGGGGTGAGACAACAGCCGGCAGGCCGGGCGTGGGGTGCCAGGATTGTCAATGAGCTTTGGGATCGTCTCGGTTCGGCATTTGCTTTTGTGGGAAGGTCGGGAGGCTCTGCGGGTGCTGGGTTTATTGTGTGCCATGTAATGAATGATGTGGACATGACGGCTTGACGGACTCTTCAAGTGTTCACAGAACAGCTTTGCTACCAGCCTTGGAGATGAGATAATGAATCAGATAACCGGTATACAGGCCACACTTCTTCCTAGGTTATACATACGTCTTTCCAGGAAACTAGCAAGTGGCACATACAATAACTAACCACAACGCCACGTTCTTGCTCTGGGGACAATGACATCTAAAGATAACCGTCCCAGATGGTGAATAGAACATTAAGTACGGGTATGGGTATGCGCATGAACTCAATCAGTCATTGGGAGACCGACCAAGGGGTATACGTGAAGGAAACATGAGAAAATGGAAAACAGGCTTGGCGTGGATATCAAGCTGTAACGGCAGCAGGAGATTCAACTGGAAGAGAGTCCGGCCCGTCCCGCGACGGAGTGGCCGTCGTTGGAGACGCAGGCGCAAGTTCGGGATCGGGTATTTGGATGTCGAGCTGCGGAGGTTAGCGCCCATCAACAAAATCTCAGTGGTTGATTAGACATACAGTCATGTACCCCGTCCGCCGCAGCGGCACAATCTTGGGTGGAATCATGCCCTCCTCCGAGTCCATCCCCTTCTCCATGTCGGAGTTCCACTGCTCGATCCACTCCTCGAGCTTCCGAAGACGTGCCTTGGCAGCTGTGAAACCAAGGTCATCCCAGAGCCACCCGGTCGCCAGGCCCAGGACGTTGTCCAGGATATTCCTCCAAGCGTACGGGCTGAATATGGGGACCAGTTCACCGTTGAGCTTGTCGATGATGCGGCGGAACTCTTGCTCTGAGACGCCCGCGGGATCCAAAATGTCCGGATACAGATTAGAGAACGTGGGCGCAAGGTCACCCTCGAGCAGCCAATCCCGGCGGACCCTGATGATGCGCGTGTTGGCATACTCGGGAGAGTCCGTCGGGACATGCGGATTCAAGTGCGGATAACACGGATGCTGCGGTCCCCATTCTTCTCCATTGTCTGGCGGTTGATCTGGGTCTCCCATGATAGACGAATCGCTCGAAGAAATCGCCGACCCGATGCCAGATATCCCAGAAGCCGTCGAGTGACGATGGTTCATAACGTCCGGTCCGCGTTCCAGGTCCGGCGTGAAGCCATCCCCGGCATCCTCGGGCGGCGCCATGACTTCCTTCCCTTTGCCCTTATCCTCCTTCTGCTTTGACCCCGGTCTGAAGCTGAGCCCGATCGGTGCTTGCAGCTTCGTAAAGCTCAGGCCTCTTCCCCTGTACTTCCGGACCTCAGGGACCACCAGGTGCGCGGCGTGTCGGTTGGTTGAGGGGCCTGCCTCTGGTTCCTCGACCGGCGATGGCGTGTGGCTCGCGCGCTTCCCGTCGTACGAATGGCGTAACGAGGGCGGCAGGCTGGCGCGCTGTTCGGCCCCGGCGACGCGATCAAGATGGAGACTGGCCCTGTTGGAAAGCGCAGACCGGACCTCGCGCTGTTCCGGGACTGTCAAGAGCGGGTAATCGCCGGCGGAGGTGCCGGGGGCTTCGGGCGCGTACTCGGTGACGTCAAGTGTAGGGCGCGCGAGCGGGACCGGCGGAGGTGGCGGTGTGGACAGACGCCGTGGCCGGGTGGTCGGGGGTTCCAAGTTTCTCGGGGTCGAGTTGGTCGGATTCCAGAGGCGCGCCGGGTGAAGCTGCCTGAGCGGGACACCGGCACGGCGGGTGCGGAAGGGCGATTGCAGAAACGTGTCCGGGGCGCCGCCGAGGCCCCTTCGTAGAAGATGGTGTTCTCGCGATGGCTGGTGGTGGTGGGTTATTGGCGACGTCGCAGCGGGTGGGGAATTGGGGGGCTGTTGCGACGGTGGCGGCAGGGTTGAAATTGCTGCTGTTGGCAATTGAACCTCGGTCGCTGCATCGAGGGCAAGCGCTTCCTGGGACCGGGGGTGGGCAGCGGGTGCCGTGGGTGAAGCCGTGGGGAAGATCTGGCAGTGGCGGCCGCCGAGACGGCCTCCGAAGAGCTAGGATGCCGGTTTCCCCCCTTCTCCGAGCAAGTTATTCCCCGGCCGGTCTCCAGAACGAGGGACCCAGTCGGCCGCTGTTCTGCTAAAACCTCCAGGACACACGAGAGCCACAAATTCCAATGGCTTTCTCCACCTGATCAAAAGCAAACCTTGAAATTGCCCCGAGACTAGCGTTTGCACGCCTAGTACTAAGTGACGGAGATGGGTCACGTTCCACCGCGTCAATGAAGATACAGGCTAGAAAGAGGAAGGCCAGAAAGGCGCCGCGCGAGTGTGCCGCAAAAAATGGGTGGGTTCAATTGGGTGTCTGGATTTTGCCAATCCGCGGGTGCGATCTTGAATGGTTTTCGAGGGCAACAGGTCGCGCAAGCCAGAGAAGTTCAGCCTATCTAAAAGAGGCTTAGTGCATGTTTATGGCAGCAAGACCAACTGACTGATCCGAAGAAGCAAGCGCAAGAGTTGGCATTCCTTTTACGAAACCAAACCATCAGACGCAACGATGCAGCTTGTGAGCTTCGAAGGCCGTTTGCATGGCCGCAATTGCAACCTCGTCCTCCAGGCCAAGTTCACAACTTTTCGCCACTATGTATTGATCACAGGAGAAGTTTTGAGCATGGTGAGCACGGAGATGAAATAGGGTTAGGGTTGACTAACAGCGCAATCATCACCTCTGACGATAACAAGCGTTTTATCCACCCGGTGTTTACTACTGTAGTACGGGCGGGCGTACTATGTCTATCCATATCCATGAGTTTATACGAGGAATCTCCGGCGTATATCGTGATATGAGGAACCTTGCCCAGGTTTGCTGATGTCGGCTTCGGGGTTGGGACACCCCGCCACAAATCCGGTTTGGGAAGTCGCAAGGCGAGACAGAGATTCGTCTCGGGCAGGTGGCGCACGAGTACGCTTTCCTCTTCCAAGACAAACAACGTTCAGGCCGTCAGACTTCTCGGCACTCAATCATGCCCCCATAATGATCGATAATATCTGTGACGCCGTTCGACTTCAAACACGACGCGACGGATGAGGTGAGACAGCAGTTCTTCCTCCGTTCTGGTAACTCGCCGATTACGTCACTGCCATCCGGACCACTCAGCATCGTTCATCGCTTCCACCCGCTCAAACAGCGTGACAATACATGCAATTGAAGAAGGAGCCACCCTCCGCTCGTTCAGCTTGCTATGGCCTCCGCCAGACCGGAGGCTGGTAGCCCGGCTGTTAGCTCGTCGGCGTCCTCAGCTCCGGACTCTCCCGGAGTCCTCCGTAACCGTAAGTTCGGCGACCGTGCCAACCCCGGGGCCATGCGTCGGTCCTCTACGGCCGGACCACCCGGACCTCCCGGCCCAAGAATACCACCGCCTGAGAACTATATCCACCGCCGCAGCTCCACTTTCTCGCAATATAGCATCAATGAAGCAGTCCAAGATTTCCATGAAGAGATCGCTGATCCCGGGCCGGAGGTTAACCGCGAGCCGACAACATGGAAGTCGTTGTTACCTATCATGTTTGCTTCGGTCCCTCCCATCGCAGGACTGTTCTTTGAGAACGGAACAGCCTTCTTCAGCGACCTCATCCTACTATTTCTTGCTACCATCTTCCTCCACTGGTCTGTAACGGCGCCATGGTAAGTGATCCTTAGCCCTCACATGCATGTGGTGGGAAATTCAAGGGCACGCATTCATTGTCCGTAGGAAATGGTACAGCTTGGCCCAGCAGGTTCGGGAGGACAATGAGCCGGCCCTTGAGGAATCACTTAAAGCACAAGACGACGAATCGGCGATCAAATCCGACAGCGACTCCGAGTCAGTAAACGGCATACATCGGTCAAAGGTGGACAAGTATGACCGAACACGCCAGGCGGACGAAGCTCTGGATAGGTTACAGAGCCTCGAAATAATGGCGCTGGCCACATGTTTCTTGGCCCCTGCCATTGCCACATACCTCCTCTACTCGGTCCGGTACCTCCTTAGCCCCCCTTCCGAAAACCTGGTCTCCAGCTTCAACCTCGCAATCTTCCTGATGGCCGCCGAGATGCCACCGGTTTCGCATTTGATCAAAATGATCTTGGCGAGGACACTCCACCTACAACGGATCGTCAACGCCAACCCGTACCGGGTGGTGTCGGTCACTGCCTCCAACTACCGCGACCTCCTGGCGCGGATCCAGGACCTCGAGGCGCGGGCGCTCGAGCAGTCTGAGAGGCCCCGGTGCGAAGGCTGCGACTGTATTGACGGCCAGAAGCAGCAGCAGACGGCTAAGCGACTGCGTGAGGACGTGGCGCGGGACGTGCGTGCTGCCGTCGGCCCGGAGATCGACGGCGTCGTCCGTGCAGTGAGGCGCTATGAGAGAAAAACCAGCACCCTCACCAGCGACACGGATCACCGGCTGGCGGATCTGCGCCAACGCCTCGACGATGTCATCGCGCTGTCCGCCGTCGCCGCTAGGAACAATACTGGCGTGTGGGGGCTCCTGGAGACGATGGCCGGCGGCTTTTGGATGGTGCTTTCGGTCCCCGTGGCGGCGGCGTTGTCTTTGGTTTCGCTGCTTCTATCCCCTATTGTTAAGCCGCTGAGCTGGATTGCCCATCAGGGACGGCGCTCGAGGACTGAGGCCGAGGAGCGGAATCACGAACGGGGGAGGAAAGTAGTTACGAATGGGCAACCGCAAGAGAATAGCCAAGCACGGGCGCGGTCCATCAAGCAGGGGCGGGCTGCCCCGACATTTCCGGCTGTGTTTCCACCGAGGCCGAATAGGTTCAAGTCGGGGTGAGGAAGGCGAGCTGGTTTCTGCGTGTACTATTTTTGACGTGTGACGATATGAGACGGGCGGGGATCGCGGGCTAGGCGTCGGATCATTTGAATGGTGTTTGTTGACTTTTTTTGTGGAATATCATGGCTTTTTCAGCCGGGCCCTTTACATATCGGTGTGACGATCTTGACGGCTTTCAGGTGCCGATCCCGGTTGCATCAACTGCTTGCTCGACCGCCGATGAGGAGAACAGAGTATGGACTTCTAGTTTTCATGGCAGTCCGGATAATCGGCATTGGGGAATTGGTTGAAAGGTGGATGCTGGCGGGTATATGTTCCCTTCCGAGACTGGACGCGATGATCTGTGTCGGGTGGGTAGTTCTGAGACTTCTTTTGCTGTTTCGTCTTCTTGTTGAATTGACAAGTTGACTAAGCTAAGTTGCTGATGGACAGAGTAACTGACTGCCTGACTGACTGACCGTCTAACTACAAGTAACTAACATGGCTAACTACCAACTGATCTGATTGATTTGATGACTGGCTTACCGACTGCTGAAGGCGCCGCAGGCTCGGAAGATCATGTGAGACAAAATGTCTCGTCTCGTCTCGGCAAGTGCAGACGATCTTCAGCACGGGGTGGTATGGAATCGGCGTGGGGGGTCGGTGATGGAGACCGTTGGCATAACGACCCATCTGGATATCTGGCGGTGAACACTTTACAAGCAGATTATGGTGTTGCGGGGCCCTAGAATCGGCGAGGCAACGGTTGGGTTTGGGTGAATGTGCGCTTATCTCACGCCCGGAGTGGCATGGAATGTGTTGTTGTTTTTTTGTCCTTCTCTTTCTTCTGGCGGGTTCGTACGGGGCGGCACGGAGATTCAACCCGGAACCGGAGGAAATGGGGTAGTTTTTCAGGCGAGGGCTTCAGCATGGGACTGGCCTCGTTTTGGCCTGGCTTTGACCTCGTTTTTTCTGAAGCATCCCGGGGAAAGCAAAATTAGTGTTGTTGTTGGCAAAGATCCGCAGTCACTCCCCGGCCCGGCTGCGTGGTGAATTCGGGAATGACTGACAATAACTATGGTCAGGCTCATGTCAAGCACCCATGTGTTTTGGGGGTGGATATCTGTATCCCAATTCTAGACCAGACTTGGACAGAAGAGACATAAGGGCAAGGTAGTCCAATTTTGAGAATGGACCAGTGCCCCAATCCTTCGATTTCTGGAGTTGATGTACTTACCTGAAGGGTTGGGTCCAAGTGTTCGTCCAGGTCGGGAAAGCGTACGGAAAAGATGCTGCTGAAGTGGGGCTGGTGAGTGTGGGGCTGGAGCTCAATCCTGAAGTGGAAGTCGTTTGTCCCTTCCTCTCTAAGTTCCTCGGCCAATGCTAATGTGCTTACAATCGCAAATTTTCCAGATTTTCTTCTCACTTTGCTTCTTGTCAAACCCGAGGGCTCTTCTCCTACCAGGTCACGAAAACCCGTTAGGTCGTGCATGTGCGCGAAGATCGACAGATTAACCTATCTTGTTACATCCCGTGGCTTGGCGATGCGGACGAGGTTCAGGTACCCGCGTGGAAATCGATTGAATCGACTTCGGCATTGCAAGTTTTAATCTCTTCTCAACTGCCTAGATTCTGAGACCGACTGGCTCGCCAACGGAGGAATGTTTTGGGAGAGATTATACCAATCTCCAACAAAGGATGTGATAATTGGGATGTCAGACCGCTTGACCAACTAACTCTGCCATTCACTAACTAGCGGTCGACCGACGCTCGCCCAGCACTCTTCAGCCCGCCACGGTTGGTCACATCCTGTCCCCGGAATCCTTCCTTTCGGCCCGGGTTAGTTCTGTCTCAGTCGGAGAATTACGGCTTCGGCCGCAAACCGCAGGCCCGTGCTTGGTTGGGCCAGTCTTCGATACTCTACAACACGATAGATGACGAGTGGGAATACTCTGGGAAATGAGACCGAGGAGTAGGAGAGGATTGTCGTGTACAGGCTATCTTCAATCCACTGGGATCCAAGCAGCTTGGCCGATGAAGTCGACATGTTCCCGTATAACAACAAGGAAAAGCATATTTACCCCTGTCACGGCCCCCGATTCGAACGCCGTCAAGCCCCGGACCCTGTCCCCTGCACCTCGTTTTCAGCCCTGGCGCCTTCAATGCAACTCAAAACTCGACGTCGAGTCATGGACGTTGTCGCCTTTGCTCATCTCTTCCGCGATGCTGCCATCCAGTCGAACAAATTGCGGCTTGGCCGACGCGCTGGCCTCATATAGCGCGGTTGGGCGCATATAGACACGACTGGATAGATTCAACAACCGCATCCACGAACTGCCACTCGGACTTCTGCGGCCAAGTTACGGTTTTGTTTTGGGCGTCTAAACGTTTGCCAACTCGGCGGCCTGGACAACAGTCTCCCAAGCCAGGAGCCTATTCGTTTCCTCACCCTACACGCACCGGCACGCTACCAACCCCATCAGATGATGCTGGTGCCGTTTTGTTTAATGGTTCGTGAGTCTTAACAGAGATCTCATGAACCACCGCTGAAAATGTGAAGCTACAGTTCTCGAAGACAAGCTTCCACTAAGCCGCGAATCACATCCTGATACCACCCTTCTCGGCACCGGCGTTGCCCACACACTCGTCGGCATGAGGACGAACCGGGTGCACACCTTCTTCCGCTCTGTCTTTCTTACGGCTCTTGGGACGGCCGTTTTGATATTGTATCTCATGACTCCTCCGGTTAGCCTTGCTGCCCAAGGAGCTTTTGTAGTCGCTGTCGCCTGCACTAGAGCAGCGCTCGGCGGGCTTACCGTTCCCTTTCGGGACCTTGCCGAGTGTTTGGGCCGAAGACACTGTTACTTACCCTCTGAGCCGCTGTTTTCGCTTTGAAATTGCCGTTACCTTTCCACTGTTCGTTGTAGGCATCATCTCGCAGCTCGAGCCGTGGCGGCTCGTTCAGAACCGCAGTAATGAGAGCAAGGGCAAAACGAGCGACGATGAGCTGGGCTTGTCGGATGAGGAAGACAACTTAGGACGGCAAGTGGAGGAGTGGCCAACCGTGAGCGCCCGCGAGTTGAGCGCATGTATGGAGAAGCCGAGTGCTCGCCAAGCGTCCGTGACCGCGCCTCTGGGAGAATATGGGGGGCGAGAAACTCGAGCCA